TCAGCTCCATGGGGAGAACAGCCTGGCTTCGAGAGGAGAGCTGCCCCAGTCAGCTCTGTGGGGAGAGCAGCCTGGCTCTGAGGGGAGAGCTGCCCCGTCAGCTCCGAGGGGAGGGCAACACCGCTCCACTCTGTGGGGCTTCTAGGCTGTAATCTTCACAGCAGTTTTCTGGGTCTTTCTTCTTGGCACCGTTAGGTGAGTCTGAAATGCTAACTTTTTAGTTAGCATCCAGGGTCAAACTGTTTATACATTTACACTACCTGGGAAACTAGCACACCTTAAACTACGTATACGTAGCTCTGTTTTGATAAATAAATATAATAAGAAAGACACAGTCCCCCTGACTCCATCATTTTGCAGTGTTGTTATGTACACTTGAGTCAGAGCAGACTCGTGGCTGACCCTTCAGAGGGGCTTTCAGAGGCAGTAAATCACGCGGGAGCAGACTGCCTGACTTTCTCAGGTGGAGCAGCTGGTGGATTACTCGGGTGACCATTAAACTGCCAGAGCTCCCTAGTTATCCCAGTGGGAAGAAAAAGTACACCTCTTGAGAACATCTCATGCTAGTACACCATGATTTCCTGGGGATTTTCTGCTCACAAATGCCTAAGGGAACGGACATGAAATTAAAAAGGTGTAACTTAATATATTATATATATAATATGTAATAAAATATCATTTCAATTTGAACTTCTTAAAACTTCAAGCAGAAACAATACTGAGTTTCACCAGAACTGCTCTTTTAGGACAAAGGCCATTTAAACGTAGGAAAAAAACAATCACTACAGGTGTCTGACCGTGTGGATCACAACAAACTGTGGCTAACTCTGAATCTCGGAAATCTCAGAACGGGAATCTCAGAACACTTGATCATGCTAATGTGAAACCTATATTTAGACCAGGAGAGTCATCAGAACAGAGCAAGTAAACACAGCATTGTTTAAAACTGGGAAGGGTATATGCTAGGGATGTGTCCTATCTCCCCATAGCTTTTCTATCTATATGCAGAACAGATTATCCAGCAGGCTGGACTCTACGAAGAGAAATGGGACATCAAGACTGGAGGAAGACTCATCAACAATCTGCATTATGCAGATGATACAATCCTGCTTGCTGAAACTGAGGAAGATCTAAAGCATTTGCTGCAGAAGGTCAGGGACTGCAGTCTTCAATATGGTTTGAAGCTGATTGGCAGCATCAGGATGGATGGTGAAGAGATTGAGATTGTTCACAGCTGTAGTTTGCTTGGCTCCACAATCAACACTCTTGGCACCAGCAGCCAGGAAATTAAAAGACATACTGCGATGGGAAAGTCTGCTGTTAGAGACCTCTCTAAAGACCTGAAAAGCAATGATGTCACTCTAGAGACTAAGGTGTGCCTGATACATGCCATGGTCTTTACAATCACTTGCTATGCATCAGAGAGTTGGACAATCACTAGAGATGATAGAAGGAGAATTGATGCCTTTGAGCTGTGGTGTTGAAGAAGAGTATTGAATATACCATGGACTGCTATGAGAACAAACAGGTTTGTTCTGTAGAGGGTTAAATCAGGCTGCTCCTTGGAGGCAAGGATTCTGAAGCTTTGTTTGACATACTTTGGACATGCTGCAAGGAGGGACCAGTCCTTGGAGAGGGACGTCATGTTTGGCATGGTGGAGGGATGGCACAGGAGAGGAAGACCCTCAATAAAAAGAACTGAGTCAGTGACTGGGATAATGGGACTGGTTGTGTCAGAGACAGTGAGATTGGCATAGGATAGAGCAGGATTCAGGGCTGTTGTATATAGGGTCGCTATGAGTCGCAGGCAACTCGACGGCACATAACAACAACAGCAGAACTTTAAAATAATAAAATTCTTAAAGTCTTAAATTCTATTGATTTGTGAATAATTTTTTTAGGAGTAACAGACCAACTTAAAAGGCAATCATGATGCTGTTTACACATGGTGATGGATGGAACTAATGTCACTAGACAATCTGTAGAAAATGTCCATGAGTGGGAACCTAGCTCGCTGGGTAAACTTTCCCTGATAATACAATAAGATTTTAAAAGGGGGTGGAAAGTGTAAATCAGTAGAATATAATGTAGCCATTTAAAATGTAGGTAACAGAAACAAATGAAGGCGGCATAATTCAAAATATCATCTGTTCTACAATGTCAGCAAACAAAATACCTAAGCTATTGAATGAAAAACTAATTTGATCTGAAAACCTTCACCCAAATTACTATAGTAATTTCATATTATAGTAAAATTCATCTAGTCTAATATTTAAATGTTGTCTGTCCCAGAGCTGATGTTCCAGTGGGTTTTCAAAGGCAGTTAATCGCTCGGGAGGAGAGTGCCCATCCTTCTCCTGCGGATTTGAACGGTGTGTCTTCAGGATTGCAGCACAGCTTCTTGCCACTAGGCCAACAGAGATTTTAAAAGAACGGGCAGAAAGAAAAAGTGAGAGCAATGTAGTGACTGACTGAATATCACTTTTCTAGACCTGGTGTGCGTTAACTCCCACCAAATGACTGAGTGCACTCCTTGTTCAGTGCTCTCAAGTCAACTGCAACTCATAGTGACCTGATGAACAACCGATCTGATCTCCGCCCATTCCTTCACCATCCTCATGATCCAGACCATGGTTACAGTCTACTAGATGAATTTTAGAGGTGCTCCAGTGGGCTAGTGGTAAAGAACTGTACTGCCATCCCAAACATGTGATACAAATCCACCAGCTGCTTTGTGGCAGAAAGACAGGCAATCTCCTCATGTGTTTTACTGCCTCTGAAACCCACTCGAGGGTCTGCTTGACTCCAGCTTGACGGTACACAACAAAAGATGAACTTTATTTTTAGCATTTTTAATGGCTTTTATTTGGGGGGGGGCAGGGAGGCTGAAAGTCCAGCGCAAACTAATTTTCTATTTTAACTACTTAGGTATTTTGTTTCCTGACTGCAGAAAGAGATGAAATTTTGAATTTTGCTCTCTTCGTTTATTTCTGTCACCTACGTTTTAAATGATTACTTTTTTGTTCAATGACCAAGAATGATGTCTTCCTCCAAGACTGGTCCTTCCTGTCAGCATTCTCACCATCCCCACCCGCCCCAAGGAGCATTCTAAAGTTCTTCCTCAAGGATAGATTTGTCTGACCTTCTGGCACTCCATGGTCTAGTCAATATTCTTCAATAATACCACAGTTCAAGGCATCAATTCTTCAGTCTTCCCATTGTCCAACCTTCACATGCATATGGGGCAACTGAAAATATCACTTGAAAAGGACACACCTTTTCCCTCAAAGTGACATCCTTGTTTATTCACATTTGTTGAATTTTGAAAAGGACTTCTGCAGCCAATTTTTCCAGTTAGATACATAGTATTGATTTCTTAACTGATTCATCCATAAGTGTTGATTATATATTCAAGTAATATAAAAACCTTGACTTTAAGAGTTTCTCTGTTAAAACAACTATGAGATATCATCTCACCCCAGTCAGAATAGCAAAATTTAACAGAACAACAAGCAACAAAAGCTGGCAAGGTTGTGGAGAAACTGGAACCCTTATTCACTGTTGGTGGGAGTGTAAAATGGTGGAAGGTGGTATGGCGCTTTCTCAAAAAGTTACAAATAGAGATACCATTTGACCCAGCAATTCCACTACTGGGAATATAGCCTGAAGAGACCGTAACTGACATCCAAGCAGATATGCACACCCATGCGGCTTTGTTCACAATAGCAAGGAGTTGGAAACAACCTAAGGGCCGATGGGTAGAGAAGCTGTGGTATATTCACACAATGCAATACTACTCTGCACTGAAAAACAAGGAATTCATGC